CCTGGGGCTTTAGTGTCATTTCAGTGAATACCAGGGAAATGAATAGCACTGTTTGTTACCTCTGAGGCTCGTGGGTGTGCAAAGCTGCACTCATCAGTCCCTTACCTCAGCACAGGAGGAAGTTTGGACACATGGATTAAAACATAAAACACCCTTGGTGTGCATTAGCACAGCCCTGCTCTCTGAAGTGCTCAGGCCCAGCAGTTACACATCTGTAACCGCTGGAATTGCTGTAATATTTTGACAGATGGAGAAATCTGGGGGTGTAAGTGTTGGCATTAATCATTTTGTCAGATTTAAAATCGATTAATGCCTGTTTTCTGCTTATTCTGTGATGGTGGAAGTTTCCTGATTTGAGATGCATGTTTCAGAACTGCTCATTTCCCAGGAAAAATCAGAATAAGATTAGTAGGCGTGCAGTGTGTACATGATCTGTAATAGCTGTGCTCCCTGTGATCAAAGGCAGAACTTTTCAATATGCAGTTGCACAGTATCATGATCAAGAGCTGGCAAGAATAATCTCATCAGATCTGTGTAGGCAGGGTGATAACAAGTTGTTTATAGAAATTAATAGTGGGAGCTTAAATTTTTAAGATTTTCCCATGAGTGTGCTTGACCTTTTCTCCTTCAAACATTGTGGTTGCATTTTCTGAGATTCTTTAGTTCCTCATCACTTACTCAGAGCCTGAAGGCAGAGTTCAGGTGTCACCTCTTGGTCAGGTGTAACTATGGTAACAAGGCAAGAATCAAGGTTTGTGGTCTTCCAGTGCACATTTTGCCTGGGGTTAATAATGACCCCAATATTGGCAGCACTTAATATCCCCAAGCAATTACAGAAGGAATTGAAAGCAAATGAATGAGGATATTGATATTGCTAATTCTGGACATTAGAGACCAGCTGGGGAGGAAATGAAATTCTGTGATACATGGGGAAAGCAGAAGTGCAAATCCCACTCTGCTTTTCTGAGGATCAGAGGTGGACAGGACATGGCCTGGCCCCTTTTCCCTCCTCCAGCCCCTTAAAGCCTCCAGCTGGAGCTGCTGGGGGACAAGGACACGTGCTGGGCTGGTGGTGAGCCTTGGGAGAACACCTCAGTTCTCAGGTGACTTGTCCAGTTCTTCATTAAAAGTTTAGTGCCCCCCAGTCAGGAATCTCCATCCCAGCCTGGCTGATGGCCCAGCACTCACAGAGCCACAGCTGAGCCATTTCAGCAGAAAACGGAGCCCATCAGTGACCTTCACTCTGTGCTGGCCAGGGCTCTGCTTCCTCAGGCAGCTTCTGTTCCTCTGCCACAGCCCTGACACAAAGCTCTGATGCTGGCACAGCTTCTGCAGGAGAAAGGGACAGAGGGCTCCCCTCCATTCCCTGCCTCTCCCCTCCATCTCTCCTTTTCACTCCCCTCCATCCCTCCTTTTCTCTCCCCTCCATTCCCTGCCTCTCCCCTCCATCCCTCCTTTTCTCTCCCCTCCATTCCCTGGCTCTCATTTCCATCCCTTCTTTTCTCTCCCCTCCATCCTTCCTTGGCTCTCCCCTTCATCCCTCCTTTTCTCTCTCCTCCATCCCTCCTTTTCTCTCCCCTCCATCCTTCCCTGGCTCTCTCCTCCATCCCTTCTTTTCTCTCCCCTCCATCCTTCCCTGGCTCTCTCCTCCATCCCTCCTTTTCTCTCCCCTCCATTCCCTGGCTCTCATTTCCATCCCTTTTCTCTCCCCTCCATCCTTCCCTGGCTCTCCCCTTCATCCCTCCTTTTCTCTCTCCTCCATTCCTCCTTTTCTCTCCCCTCCATCCCTCCCCGGCTCTCATTTCTCCTTTTCCCAGCAGCGATCTCAGCTCCTGGTGTGTCACAGGTGAGGTTTAATCCCGTCCATGCTGGGGGCTGCTTTGAGCAGCTCTCCCTGAGAGGAGCTCAGATGTGCTGCCCCCGGAGCTGATCCAGCAGGGTGTCAGCAGAGCTGGGACACTCCCAGTGTTTAATTTGGGGTAGATGGTATCACTGATTGCAGGTGAGCTCTGACCCTGCTGTGTTTGCTGGGGTCAGGCTGAGCACAGCCCTGCTCTGAGGCTCTGCTGTCCCCACCTGCACAAATCTCTGCTCCAGGGCTCTGCACACCTCCCACGTGTGGCCTGCTGATGAATATGGATTAAATTGTGTTTTAAGTATTACTTCTCTGATTGCAATTTCTGGTTCCTCCTCGTGAAATGGTTCCTCTGTTTTGTTTGTGTTATCAATGGGAATGCTTTGAAAATTGCTTTGGTGCTAAGGAGAGCAGGAGGAAAACATTGCTTCACAGTGAGCATTTTGAAAGAGTGTTTATACCCAGAGCATCAAATTAATTTCCCCAAAGAACAGGTTGAGCTGATCAAAACCAAAAATGATCATTGGTTTTGCACATATTTGAATACAAATAATTTAATTTCAAAAAGTCTGTTAAATGCAGCAGCTCATGGTCATTTCCATATTTCCTCAAGCACGATATAATTATTTTCTTACACTCCCATTTTCTTGGTTTTAACCATGGAATAAGCTTTTCTCTGGGATTCAGGCAGGTGTAACTCAGTGGCTGGGCAGAGTCAGGGCACAGCCTGAGCCCTGATGTTCCTGATCTCAGATCCTTGGGGTGCCAGCCAGGGGAGGTGGAACAGCAGCACATCATTCCTGTCTTTGCATTTTTCTTGTTTCTCTGCAAAGCTTTTGATTCTCTGTTGAACTCCTCTGAGAATCCTAATAGGAAATAGCTGAAAGCTGTAAAATATCTAGAAATTCTGGCAGATCTTTGTAGGTTCTCAGAAATCTTTAGCATTTATGAGAATTGACAATCAGCAGCACTCACATACTTAGTTTTTAATACATATATCTATATATTTATATTTTTAAATATGTGCCCCATCACAGTAGTGATTGAATTGCATTACAGTTGCCCAAAACCCTTCAGGCTGGAGGATTATGATGTTTTGTTAAGCACAGAGAAGCTTAGTCAGAGTTCAGAGCTGTTCTCAGCCCTTTCAGGGTGTGTGGCTGGAGCAGGAGTCAGTGCCAGCTCTCCCTCCTCTCTGGGTCCTTGGTTCCACATTTGGGAATTGCTGCTCTATTCCTTAAACTTCTTCTGAGCCTCATCTCTGAGAGGCCAGGGGTCACAAACAGCAAAATAGACTGAAAAATGCCAGGACGTGACTTGGATTACCAAAGTCTGAATTTGTCCTCCCCAAAACCAAAGGTATTTAATGCAAGAAGGGCAAAAAGCCCCTTCAGTGTGAGGCTGCTCCTCTGAAGGGCTTGGAATTAGGATGGAAAAGCTCCCAAATGAGGGAGAGCTGAGCCAACAAACACAAGAGATGAGGCTGCAGTTGGGTGATTTGCCTTGCACAGTTTAATTCAGCTAACAGTCAAAAACAGGAGAATGCCCAATATTCTAAAAATAACCTTTGTAAAAATGTTAGATAGTGAAAAAACAAAGCTAATTAAGCTAAGTTGATTTGATTATAAGGAGCTTTAGCAATCATTTCCATTAGGCCATAGACTACCAGGAGCTTGTGTCTCTGTCTGAGTCCAGACAGGTACCTGGAGCTGCCAGAACCTTTCAAAGACTGACACAAACCTCTCTCCAAATGTGAATCTCATTACAAGGAAGTGAAAGCAGAAACCCTGACATTTTCAAAGCAAGGACCAGGTTCTGATGTGCGTGGTTCAGGAGTGACACCCAAACTCATACCCAGACTCTGAATTTCAAGGATCACTGGAATTGCTCAGCAGGCAATTCCCTGGCAGCTCACTTTTATTGAATTTTAATGGAGTAAATTCACTTAATTACATCTGTAATGAAGAATTTAGGTGAGTAAAGGCACACGAGTTTGAAAATGTGGTGCTTTGACTTTTTGTGCAAGCTGGGATAGTGGGGGGTGTCCCTGCCCATGGCAGGGGGGGTTTGAGGTCCCTTCCCACCCAAACCAGTCTGGGACTCTGTGTGAACTGGGAGGAGAGAGCAGTGCCATTGTCAGAAAGGAGTTACTTGGCAGACAGCAGTGCTCAGGGTACCAGAAACAATATTTTCTGAGATAATTATGTAGAATAAATAAGCCTCGTACAGAATCTGTTCACACAGTTGTGGAAAAGCAGATTTTAATTTCTCAGCATACAGTTTCATGTGAGCAGAATCTCTAAGCAGAGAGTTGACATTGTTAACAAAGGTAATATTAGATTTGAATGAGAAACTTTGTATGGTTAATTAAAAATCAAAGGCACAGTTATAACAGAAGTAATTATCCAGGAGTATTAAATCAGTTGCAAGTCCGAGCCCGTAAAAGAATTAATCAGGAATAATTTAATATTTGATATTGAGGGCTTATATTTTCCACTAATGCCAAAATCCATTCCATTAACCAGTACAACTCTTCAAGTCTGTCTGCAGGCTGGGTCCCTGAGAGCAGGACAGTAGAGGAACATTTCAGTTTAATTCTCCTTTTCCAGCAGAGTTCCAGGGAACAGAGGGGTGTTTCTGTGGAGAATCCCCGTGGCTGGGGATTGTTCTCATGCATTTCCCCAGCAGTGGAGGTGCCACAGGAATGGTGGGAGAGCAAAGGCAGCTGCATTCCAGCTGTGCAGCTCAGCATCCTTGTGATCTAGGGGTGGCATCCAGTTCTTTCTTCCATTAATTAGGTTGATTTCCCTTTAATTGCAGTGGAGGTCAATCCACAGAAACATTCCTGTTTCCTGCAGCCATGGATTTCCTGATGCAGTTGCATTATTTGGAAAATCACAGTCTGCTCTTTGTTTTGAGCTCAGCCAGCTGATCATTTTCCCTTTCCACTTGTGGTGGAAGAATCTCTGAATGAATCTCATGAATCTCTGCCCTTGGTTCACCAGACCACTGATCCTCTTGGGAATTCCTGTTGTAGCCTCTCTCACTCATCATTTTCTTGCCTCACCTTTTTGGCCCCCGTGGGACCTTCCCAGTTTTCCTGGACGTGCACAGGGAATAATTCAAGCAGGTTAGAAAAGGAAATCAGAAGGGATGATTTGCTTTTGGTGACGAGGGAGTTGAAACGCTGGGGGCAGTGGGGGGAATTGCTGGAGTAGAAAGCAAAAAATCCTAAAACCAGCTCTGAGTGCTGGGGAGATTGAGATCTGAGTGCTCTGAGTTCCCAGCTCAGCTCAAACTGGGTCTCACTGCAGTCAGAGCAAGCCACCACAGGTTACACATGATTTTGGAAAAGAGGTTTTTGTTGAGCAAAGCTGTCCTTTGCCAAGGTAGGTCAGGAGTTTTGGACGGATTTTGGCTGCAGGGCCTCGAGCTTGCAGTGAATTCTGAACCAACAGGAAAACCTGACCAAATAAAAGCAAAAGTCAGATTATGTAGGTCCGATGTGTCTGGCAGTGCCTTGCAGAAGGAGCATTTATTATTGTCATCTGAAGGCTTTAGGCTGCCTTTTTAACCCAATAACCAGCTTGTCACAGCACTCCCGAGCCCCTGCAGCCATTTATCCTGTATATTTATTTAGCTGGGTGAAAATCCTGTATTTATCAGCTGGGCTGTGTCTGGGCAGGCTGGGAGCAGGGAGATAAATGGGCACACCAGCCCCATCGAGGCATTTATTGATCACATCAGGTGCTTTATCAACTCTCAGTAAAAGGCTCCTCACCTTCCCCTTCCTTCCTAGCTGGAAACTTAGCCCTGCATAACTTACCCGGGAAAAAACATTCCTCAAGCAGGTATTTCTTAACTTTCAGAATTCCCAAAAAATCCCCTAAAAGATCTTGAGGTTCCAGCTGGGTTTGTTTCAGCTGTGGACTCCCACAGGACAGGAGGGCAGGGGAGCTCTTGGCCACCAGGTTTGCTGTCAGTGAGAGGTTGAGATCAGTAAAGCCAGGACTAGTCCTGATCCTTGCTGGGTCTGACCTTGGGAACCTCCCCTGCAGTCCTGCAACTCCACAAATGATTTATTTATCAGCTGAGTGGTGCAGCCTGCAACTGTCCAGGCTCACAAGTTCATCATGGAGTGAATAGTTCTGAACACAGGGCTGTACTTGTAGGGGATTTTTCCTCATAGTTCAAGTGAGAAGAAGCTGGAGGAAGCAAATGAAACTTTTACTCTTGACATCAAAATAATTATTGGGTGCAGATCTCTGTGTACACCAGATTAGGAAAACACTTGGAATGTTCTGGGTACAAAAATTTGTAATTTGATGTCAAGCCCGGGTTTATTTCCTTGAGGACGTTGGGCTGATACCAACACAAGTTCTCTACCAATCGTTTACAGGAGGATTAGACATTAAACAACACTCACAGAACACACAATAAGGTCTTAAAGGCATTGAATCTGAAGCAAGCATGTTCCCCAGGATATTATTACAAGAGTCTTCATGTCTTTTTTCTAATGGCTTTTTGGATTCCCTGCTTTCAGCCTGCCACAACCAGCTTTACAAGTGTCCAACCTCTCTTTTTCTCCGTTATTAATTTTTTTTTTCATATTGTAAAGCATTCTTCTGTCTGTCTAACTGCTTCTTAAGTTTATTGCTTTTCTGTGGTGCTGTTAGGGATTTTATTTCCCAATTGGTATTACTTTTTAACTACTCATGTAAATCTGTATCAGTTCAGATTCATGCAGAAAAAACAATTTGTCACAAATCTGTAAAGGCTAAATGATCAAAGCAGAGCTTGCAGGCTCACTGCTTTCTTTCTCAGCCTACTTCTAGACCTAAAAATGTTTTCTCTTCATTCAGATTCTGCTCCTGCCCTTTACCATAGCCTTGATCTGTGGCAGGGGAGTCAAATGCACGGGTCACTTCCTTGGCATATCTGCAAAATCAGCCGAGTTTGCACCATTGATACCCTGGCAGTTGTCACAGGCTAATAATCACAGAGAAAAAAGTTCTGTCAGCAGTGCCACCGAAATCCAGGCACAAAAACACCTCTGTGGACGTGGAATCTGTAACTAGGGAGATTGTTAGAAATAAAATTTGGTTGCTGTGTTTAAAAAAAAAAAAAACAAAAACAAAAAACAAGATTCATAATTTTCTTCCCACGACGAAATGCAAAGAGCTGAAGGTTTTTGGCTGCTCACCTGCAGGGATGGCAGTGTCAGAACCAAAGCACAGGGGTGTGGGGGTGTGTGCTGGCCTTTGCACCACTAATCAGTGGTTTGTCATCAGTTTTGTCTGTTTGTTTGGAGCCAGGATTATTAGAAAGGCAGTCGAGATGGTTTCTCGTGTTTGGGTTTGGATGTTTATTGTATCTTATCAAAAATTACAGAAAGCACAGCAGCACCTCCAGCTCCTTGCTAGAAGTGGGAAAAATGGCCCCAGTGAGGCTGCTTCAAGGCCTTTTAAAGCCAAACACACCAATAAAAGTTTAACACTTACATTATTTATATTTTTGACCCAATAATAGATTCTCATGACTCTTAGAGTGACTTTTGACTGACCAATCTAAAAGTAACTACCTAAGTTTCATGAAGAAGAAGGAAGAGAAGAAGATGAACAGGAAGAAAAGACATTACCTAAAATTCTTTATCTTGTTTCCTAACTACTACTATACTGTAAAAAGTTTAGATTTAAAACCCACCACTCAGTGAAAACACACACATTTAACTCACTGTACTATACTATATAACTCACTATTTGTGATTTTTAACTCATTATTGATATTTACAAGTTTTCTCCAAGGTTTCAGCTCCAGAGCAGTGTTTTCTAGGGCGTCTGTGCCTGGAAGCAGAAAAAGCTCAAAAACTCCAGATTTTTGAGATCCAGCACAGGGGGATAAATGGCTTTTGTGCCCAGAAATAGGGTGTGCATGGCCCTCTCAGCTCCAGGGAGGGTGAGTTTATCCAGGCAGGAGGGTGCAGCCAATGCAGGCAGGACCATCCTTGTCCAGCCACTGCCAGGGATTTTTTTTTTTCTAAGGCTGTGCTGTGCCCCAGATTCTGTTCTGGCCACCCTGCTGTCCTCAGGAAGGTCATGGCCACATGGCTCAGAGCAGACTTTGGCCCCATTTGCCATATGGGAGCTGGAACATCATCCTTTTCCTGAATGTCCCCTTGGATTTTTTGTGTGTTTGCTCGGCTGAGGAGCTCATGACAAAGGCAGCAGAGCCCTGGCTGCAGGCTGCCCCCTGCTCTGCCCTGGGTCTGCTCATGAATGGATTGTTGGTTTGCAGGCAGCTTTCCAGGGCCCTGTGATGGTCCCAATTTAGCTCAGGCTGCTTCTTGCCTGACATTCCTAAATAAGAATGTGCTACACCAAGTGCCAGGCCAGTCTGGAAGGGAATTTTGGAACAGGCAGTTCAGTCACTTCTCCTCTGCACAGTGACCTGCAGAGCACGAGTTCTCCTTTCCTTACAACCCTTTTTCCTCTCTTTAGGAAGGTGAAAAACTGGTTTGGTCCTTGCTCTGTGGCTCTGCCAAGGGAGTTTACAGTAATTGCCACATTTGGGCAGATCTGCTGTTTTCTCGTGGTCACTGCACCGTTTTCTCCTTGTCCTGCCACCACATTGTCGATGTTGCTCTCAGCATTCTCCACGTGCAGCAGGGAATTGGGAGGGCAGAGCTGCAGGGATGGCTGCTGCCTTGGCCAGGAGAGGCTTGGGCAGCTCATAACCTCACTGCTCTTCAGCTTTCCCCTCTGGAAAGCTGCAGCAGCAACAGCAGAACTTCAGAAACGATGGGGAAAATCAAGTCAGAGTTGATAAATGTGTTGATAAATCGATTTCTTGATCTCAGAGGGCTCTTTCAACCTCGATGGTTGTGTGGGCACCTTGGTTTGCCTGCTTCACTCACGGGTCCTGCTTAACCCCTCCGAGTTAAAGCAAAGCTGTGGGAGATGGGAGGAGAGAACAAACGAGTCTGCTGGAGATCTGCAGCATCCTGTAATCACTGTGGCAGAGCTGAATTTTAAAGAGGGCTGTAAAGTACCCAGCTCTGCAGGTGTCACGGGAACAGCAAGGATGAGGTAGCTGTGAGACATCAAAAGCTGGGAAAATTGCAGGAGATAATGGAGCAGCTTGGGAGGAGCACACAGAAGGAGGGGACAGGGAGGCAGTGGCACTGTGTGCCCGGCTGGGGACACTCCCAGGGCACTGCTGTGTGAGTCTGGGGGTTCTGGGAACAGGGAACAGCCCCTGCACCTGCCCCTGCCACGGCACTGGGATCCCAGGGTCACTGCAGGGTGGGCAAACTGGGCAGGCTCTGTGAGAAACTGGGATGGAAATGAAATTAATGGAATGTTTCACAGCAGGGCTTCCAGGTACAGAGAAAGCTGTGCACAGCACTGGCAGGCAGAGCTCAGCAGATGTGTGCTCACATGTCAGAGATTCCACCAAAATTGTTTTCAGGAGAGAGTGTGTCTGATGGTAAAACAACGGGAAAATCGAAACTTACTCAGAAAATAAATCTCCTTTTGTTCCAGCTCTTCTGCTTTTCTCAGAGGGCTCTGACAGGGCCTGATTCCCACAAGTCAGAGTCTGGGGGAGCTTTTTCCAGGAAGCCTGTCCCCAGTGACACACACACACACCTCTGCTGTTCTGTGATATGCAGAACGCAGCAATGCTTCTGCAAGGAAGTTCGTGCAGCTCTGTGATCACTGCCCCATTCCTGTGCTCCTGATCTACAGCATCCACAGCTCTGCTCTGTGCACACCCAGGCTCCATCCCACACGGGATTTCCTGGGAGGTGAGGATGGATATGGGTGGATATGGATGGATATGGATGGATAATGGATGGATAATGGATGGATAATGGAGTGTGGGAGCAGGGAGGGCTCTGCTGCAGCAGCCTCTGTTCCCAGCACCCAGAGCAGCATTTGCTGCAGGTCCTGCATTGCTCAAACATCCCCCTGTCGAATTCCTCTGCTGGGAATTTCTGTGTGCCAAGGGCTGCTCTGAGGTGCTCCTTGTTGGATGGCCCGTGGGGAAAGGGTTCCCAGCCATGTCTGTGGATTTATTCCCTTTATCCACAGATCCCACGGGGCCAGCACAGGGTGGGAGAGGAGAAGGATTCGTGTGCAGCTCAGGATACAGCCTGGGAATGTCAGCACCAAGCTGTGAAAGAAACAGAATTTTTAAAAACCGTATTGAACAAGGCTAGTGCTTTGTTTGGGGATTTTTAATGCTCCCCTCTGTGACAGCAGAGCTGTTTCAGGCAGTTTGACCCCCGTGATGCTGGCTCTGCTGCACATCCCACCCAATATTTACTCTGCTGAGCTGCATTGCCAGAGTCTCGTTGGCATCCTTGCTTTGAAATGATATCCCAGAGCTTTCCTTTTGTCCCTGGAAATCCTGACATCATATCCCATAGTCTGCCCCTGCAGAGCTCCAAAACCCCCTGCAGGCACCCAACCTCTGCATGAGGCTTGCCAGTGAGGGCTGAGAAGCCAGAGAGCCTTCCTGCTGACCCCGTGTGTGAAATCCTGACTGGCTTTGGCTCATTTGGCCTCCCCAGCCTGTGCACTGAGTGATCAGAGCCGGGATCTGCTGCTCCTCGGGGCAGATTCCAGCTCTGCTCCCTGCCAGGTCTCCTGTGAGGATCTGCCTGTCCCTCCTGTGATGGTGCCTGGCAGCCTGCTGGGGGAAAGCCAAGAAGAAATCCTCCCCAAATATGTTTATTTGTTTGTTTGTTTGCTTTTAAGAGCAAACTGAGTTGATTATCAGCTCAAGCAGCCTGTCTAGAGCCCGAAATCAAGGATGCATACCCAGCTTGGTGGAGTTACAGTTTGGGGGCTGTAAATTAATTAGCAATTTCTCTGAAGAACCACAGCCTGACAACTCTGAGGCTTCCTGGGTGTGACTTTGATGAGCAGGGAAGGTACATGACAGCTCCCTGGGATGCTGGGAGCCTCCTTAGCACTGCAAACCACCCAGACACCAAAGGACGGCTCCCCAGAAGGATGCTGACACAATTCCTAAATGTTACACATCAAAGGGACTTTGTCATCTTAAACCTGAGACAAATTAAATTTACATTGCCTCTACAGGGAGGGAAAAAGGGAACTGCCATGGGAGGACTTTGCCTCCCCAGCTGTCAGGGTGTGAGCAGAGCCAGTGCAGCCTGCTGCCTGTGCTGGTCCCATCCCAGTGCTGAGCTCTGCACTGTGCCTGAGTGCTGTTTGCTACAGAAACCAGGCTAAAAATCAACTTCTGCTGGGGGAAATCATTGTTGGAGCCCTGAAATCCTGGGGTAGAAATCGAGCAGCAGAGCTGACATAAATAACATAATAACATAAATAACAGTGAGCCCCAAAAAGGAGGCAGCAGCCCTCCCCAGGACCTTGCTCCTGCATTTGTTGTGTTTGCCATGTTTTACCTGTTTCACAGGGAGCTGTTACCTGTTGTGTTTGCCATGTTTTACCTGTAGGGAGCTGTTACCTGTTGTGTTTGCCATGTTTTACCTGTCAGAGCTGTTACCCGTTGTTGTGTTTGCCATGTTTTACCTGTTTAACAGGGAGCTGTTATTGTGTTTGCCATGTTCTACCTGCCAGGAGCTGTTGTTGTGTTTGCCATGTTTTACCTGTAGGGAGCTGTTACCTGTTGTTGTATTTGCCATGTTTTACCTGTTTCACAGGGAGCTGTTACCTGTTGTTGTGTTTGCCATGTTTTACCTGTAGGGAGCTGTTACCTGTTGTATTTGCCATGTTTTACCTGTAGGGAACTGTTACCTGTTGTATTTGCCATGTTTTACCTGTTTCACAGGGAGCTGTTACCTGTTGTTAGCTGGCTCAGCAGCCTGACCTCAGCTCTGAGCTGGGGCTGGACACTGCACACACACAAAACAAATCCAAGATTTCAGTTTGGAGCCATTCCAGGTGAGCCACACGTGACAGACAAAGGCAAGGAGAAGGAACACAAGAGGCAAATGTGGTTTTCTCTCCCTGGGAGTGAGATGATTTATTTCCTGGCTCTTTTCATCACTTAAAGATGTGGAATTGCAATCATAGGCAGTGCCCACAGTTGGGATTGTCTGTGTGTCCTGCACACACCTGAGAAACAAGGAATTGCCAGCCTGGGCAGCAGAGCCATGGGCAGGCACAGTGTCCCTCCTGCATTTCCCTGCTGGGATTCATTTCTTTCCTCCTTGAGCTTTTTGCTGCACATCACAGGCTGTGTAATGGGAAACCTCTCACTGCTGGTCATCCTCTAACGATCCCCCTTTTCCTTTGTACCACCTGCCTCTCCTTTTGCTCCTTCTCTCCCTATTTACTGTGCTCAGCACTGTCTTACATCTTCAGCTGCTCCTCCCCTCCTCCAGCCTCCGTGATAGATTCTGTCTACACCGAGATGAAAGTTCGTTAGGAAGAATATAAAACAGCTTAAAGCTTTGCAAAAGTTGTCTGAGATTAAATATAATTAGATATTTTTTCCTGGCTGCCTTGTGTGTGACAGT